GATGCTAAACCTTTTCTTAGACAACAGAAGTCACACTTTCCTTTTGCTTCTTTGGGTTCATAGCCTCAAATGCTGTTAATTCAGGAAAATATTCTTAGATGATATTTTTCATGATTAATTGGCATGAAGAATAAATTTTATGCCACACTATACCAGTACTGTTTTTTTTGGCGGATATATACTTATATTTAAAGATCATTATTCTTCATACATGTATAACTAGAATCGGATCCAATTTTAACCGACTTAAACCGTTCGGCTAGAATCATATCCAACTTTAACCGACTTAAACCGTTCGGCTAATTCCAAAACTAGACAGGCTCATCAACAAAGTTTTGTCTACCGGATTGGATCCAAAGTACAACTTCCTTTGCAAGCGTGCCATTTTGTTCCAAGCGGAACTTGAACTCAGGATATAAGGTTCACACTCGTTTCACAAATCAATTCGCCACTAGACACATATGGTTGAATTTTATAATTTAACTATAAATTTACAAACAAATACTATATTGTATGCTTCGATTTTAACTTCCATTTACTGACGTGGGTCTAATCTATAAGACAGTTGAGTAGTTTCGACGTGGGGGACTTTCTATAAAAAAATTGGCAAGACCAATATCAACATAATTACGTGTTGTTACATGTTGGATGAATCTTCTAGGGGTTAAGTGGATTCATAATAAAAATTGAGTCAGAGAAGGAATGTGCGTAACTTCGTTTCCATGTTACCAAGACAAAGAATTCATGAAAGCATAAATATACGAATTTTCTTATTCTTATTATTGTTAATATTCTATTAAAGTTATACTATTGTTTAGCTTAGGATTCGTTGAGTTTTGTTAGAGTTTTTCGTTTTTAACCGGAGATCTCAGACTAATCACACACTATTTAAGACATCCACAGTGGTCAACCATATTTATTACAGTGTAAATGTCCAACCCTAATCCTTTAATTTGTTAGTGAAATTTGACCATCATAAATTGATCCTTCACAATTTTCAGATACCCTTATAAGTTATAAATATGCCGTGGGATATTTGGTTTTGAAAGTTCCTGGTGTTTCGACTAATAAATTTGAATTTTCTGTAAATATATTATATTATTCTTCTTCTTTTTTCTGTCAATTCTGTTACAAAGACATCATTTGGAGTGTATTTACAAACAGAGAGAATTTCAGCGTCGAATATATTAGAGTAAAGCTTTAAAGATAAACAACACAAACACACAATATTATATTTGGTTATGTTTTCTGATCTATAGTTCTTTTATCGAATAACAATCTTAAAGAAACCTTTAACCCAAAAAAGAAAAATCCCATCGTAAAGAAAGAAAAAGAATGTGATATTTACTATACGAATCAACTATCAAATCAGTGGTGATGCATCGGCTACTTAAAAAATCCAGCTAAGTTAATTCGATGTCAACTCAGCCTTGCCAAATTAGTCCAATATGGTGGGGGAAGAACAACATATTCACTTCATCTTTTTACATTTTGTGTGTAAGTTCATGGCATATGTATGTATACACGCATGATACATAAACAATTCAAGAAAGTTTTTAACTGGTACACAAAGTATATTATAGATACAGATTAACCATCATCATCATTCACATGATAAATTGCATATTTTCAATAGATTAAACGTACAAAACAAGACTACTTAATTAAAAAAAATCGAAATATCCAAAAGTAGAAAATAAAATAAAAAATATCTAACAAATTACACTGAAGATGGGAATATATGTCGTCAGGAGGATTCGCCACATAACATGCGCTTATGAGATTGAGATACAATTATTCTGTCGGGAATTAAGCTCTGTGGGATTCGTCAGATATGTATAATGTAAATATTCATTTATTTTTTGTAATCAAATATTACTATTATTGTTCTATGTAAAGATAGAGGTTCCACGTGGGGAGAATCATAAAGTGCCAAAAAAATCCTCAACCCAAAAGTTATTTTGTTTTCTTTCTTCCACATATGATCCGATTCGGATGCATTATGCGTTTTTCCATTAATTAATTGTGTTATGTTGTGGATATATATTCACACTTTCTATTCATGTATCACAGCTCATATTTATCTATTTATATGATGTGATATCTATGGAATCTTTGATGGTATTTAGAACGATTGAATCCGGTGTTATTTAATTTCCTTGTTAAAAAGACCAAATTACCAGAATTTTATAACTTTTATGATTAACAATTGTAGTTGATGTTACCATCAACACCACGACCACCAATTACTATATTATTATGACATTTATATGGTAACTACCGTAAATAATACAATGATATAACAATTTTATGCTCATATTTATCTATTTATATGATGTGATATCTATGGGATCTTTGATGGTATTTAGAACGATTGAATCCGGTGTCATCACCACGACCACCAATTACTATATTACTAGAATATGACCCGTGCATTGCGCGAATTTTTGTTTTACAACTTATTAAATTTAACTATTTTTATGTATATTTAGTAATTTAGTACTTATGTATGATAAAACAAACAATTCTTGGTAGATAAAAAATAATATTTCATTTTAAATAAAATAAATTAATTTTGTCATTTAGTATTAATAATGCTTACATCTATGAAGTGATTATCAATGACTTTGATATCGATAGTTCCTCTTTAATTTTTTTTTTAAAACTTTGTTACGTACATATATGTGATCATTATATAAATCATGTTACTAAATAACCAATTATGATTTAGAAGATAAAATTTATCAATCATTTTTTACTCTATTTTTATAGTATGATTACTCATCATTTTTTTTGTCATTTATCTTTGTCTCGTGAGTTTATATATATTTTGAATTTTGTTCATCGTAGAGAAATATTTAAGATTTTGTGGTACTATTTGTTGAACATTGGTCTTCGTACTAGGTTGATAAATAAAAATGTTAAGATAATTTTTTAAGTTTAATGTGTGTTAAAAAAATGTTGGATTGAATGTATGATTTTTTTTTTATTGAGCTACAAAAACTTTTAATAAAAAAATAAAATATATGGTTAAGTCAGTTGATTTTTACTAACTATTTCAACTATAAATTCGTAAACACATTTGAGTTTTTTTA